TGTGTGTGTGTGTGTGTGTGTGTGTGGGAGAGAGAGAGAGGGTGTGCGTGTGTGAGAGAGAGTGTGCGTGTGTGTGTGAGAGAGAGAGAGAGAGAGTGTGTGTGTGTGAGTGAGCGAGTGAGTGAATGTTTATGTGTGTGTTTGTGTGTGTATGAGAGAGAGAGAGAGAGAGAGAGTGTGTGTGTGAGAGTGAGTGTTTGTGTGTGTGCGTATGAGAGAGAGAGAGTGTGAGTGTTTGTGTGTGTGTGTGTGTGAGAGAGTGTGTGTGTGTGTGCAGGTGTTTTTTGCATGGATAAAGTTTGATAAACCCCAGATGTCATCATGCTGATGAGACTTCCTGTTCGAGTGGGTAATTTTGATTATTTATGACAGAAAATGATGGACTGTTACTGTAATCTATTAATTAAATGGCTATAAAGCAGAGCAGTAACCAGCCAGAAGATGATCTGATTGGACATCAGTGAATCTGCATACAGCGTCGTCTCAGACGGTCACATGATCACTCTCCCGAGAGATCCGGGCGTTCTGATTGGCTGAGGTCCTGCATGTGTCTCTGGATGTTACTCTGATGAAAATCATGGTACAGATCCTGTTTTTTAGATAAATATGAAATATAACTTTAACATTATGAACTTTAGCTTTATCTTTGATCCGTGTCTCATGTAACAGCCATCACAGAGCAACATTAGCATCTGAAGTCTGTCTCCGTTTGCTTCCTCTGGCATTTTCTTCATTTATTACTGACGGTGACGCTGCTGATATCAGCTGTTTAATTAACGAGAAAGCTTTCAGTTAATGCTGAAATATGATCGACATCATTTATTTCCATGCGCTGTACAGCAGGTTGATTCTCTATAATGGCTCTGAATGCAGATGCTTGGAAGTCGCCAAACAGGGTTGGGTTGCTGTGCTTGTACTGATGTTTTTTCTAATGTTTAAGGTCAAATATATTGAAGTATTAACAAAATGAACAAAATATAAATAAAGAGCATTTAAATTAAACACACAAGTCTGATCTCCTCAATCTCCATCCATAGTGTTTGTGTAGATGGTTTTATTTTCATTGTCTGATGTCTTTAATGAATGTGATTGGTTCATTATTAGTTATAATTCTTCTCGAGACATTTTCCTGAACAGCATCATGATCCTCCAGGGTCTTCAGTGGATGTGAAGCCGTTCCGAGGAGGTTTTTTTGATGCTTTTGAGAAATATCTTACAGCCCTGTGCGCGCGCGTGTGTGTGTGTGTGTGTGTGTTAGTCATCCTCTCTGGATGTCGCTCTGGCCTGTTGCCATGGAGACCGAGCATCAGCAGCGCCCGTGGGGTCTTGTGAACACACACACACACACACACTAGAGGGAGAGATGGATGGAGTTCCTCCGTCAGCTGAAGTCAGAGGATGCTGTTTCCGTGTGGTTGCCTTGGTAACAGTTGCCGGCCTGATCGGGGGTGGAGGAGCAGTTCGTTTAGGCTGTCTGATGCAGGCTGAAGGTATCGAATCTGAAGATCCGAATCAGCAAAATGCAAATGCACTACAGTCTCAGAGGAAAGAATCGTTCACGATCCGTCGCACTGATTACTGAGACACCGTTACACCTGTAGCACAAACACCATCAAACACACACAAATCTGACCGCACAGAGATCTTCATCACGTCACACACTGCTCATGAATATTCACGAGGACACACATGCTCTGTTGTGTTTATATTTAACGTTTTACATATGTTCTCATTTCACAGTCACTCTTCTCTGTAAAGTCATTGGAGCTGCTGCCTGTATTAGCAAATGCTGCATAAATGTAATTTACGTAGTCATTGCTAAGGATTATTAGGTTTGTGACCGTGATAGCGTTTCCTCTCCTGAACTAATCCGTGCTCTTCTCATGTAGGAAACCGCAGGAGCTTCATCTCACATCCGAACAGAACACAACTCTTCCGTTTGACTCTACTGCGATTGTTGAGCTGGAAGCGTTTCAGAGCCTAAATCTCTGCCTTTGCTGTTGTCTGCTTCTGTTCTGATGTCCAGACAGGTTTCCTCAGCGGTGGGTCTCGAGCAGAGAAAGCGTGAGTGACTGTGAAGTGGATGTTGAGTCGGAGAGAGACTGACCGCTCGTCCTGAACTCTGAGTCTGGCTGTCTTCAGAGAGCAGGATTATTCATGTCATCAGAACAACCCCAACTTATGAAAGTGCATTTCAATGGCATGATTTTATGTTTCTATTTGGTGTACTGTTTATACGCAGAAATTGACTTTGGTGTGCATCATATTTTTGGTTTTATTTGTAGTAAAAGATTCCGTCAGGTCCGTAAAGTCGACTTGAAACTGAAGTTATGATTTTTCTTCTCTATTTTGACATATCTGCGTCTAGCGGCTTCTTTCTTCAGTGGAACACAAATAATATTCTGAAGAACATTGGGAACTAAACAGTTTTGGACCCCACTGACTATCAGTGCATGGACAAAACCGCTGAGACTCTCCTCAAAATATCTGCTTTCGTGTTCCACAGAAGATGGAGAGTCACTGATTCTTCAAAGCATCAGCGATCGTGCCGTCAACCATCAGCATTCAGGATGCTGACCTCTGACCTCTGCATCTCTTGTACTGATGTCAGTTTGTGGGACAGATCTTTGAGTGACCAGAAGGCACGTGGAGACCTGATGCAGAAATACAGCCGTGATTCCAGTTAAACCAAACGTTGTTCAGTCCGTCCATAAACACTCCTGATTGATTCGGCCATTTATTTCTCTGCTAATGCTCTTCTATAATTGATGCATTTACAACACTATTTCTCTGTTTAATGCTGTGAAGCTGCTTTGAAGCAATTCAGTGTGAAGCGCTATATAAATAAATGTGATTCATGTGTGTGTGTGTTTCAGAGATGTTGCTGTGAGGGAAAGCGCAGTGTTTGAACATGTGGGTGGTTTGACCTTCACAGACTCAGAAGAAGAAGAAGAAGATGTTTTAATGTTGTGAGCTGAGCGTGCAGCTCTGATGGAGATGCTCAGAAAGAGTCCCAGCCACAGAGAAGGGGCCCATCCACACCGGGGCCATCGATTCGGAACTGTTTCCATGTGAACGGTGCTCTGAAAGCACACACAGCTCTGTTAACCCTTGAGCAGCCGGACCCTCAGCTATTCAGTCATTCATTCTGAGTGCGATCAGGGCGGGGCCGTGTGTGTGTGTGTGTGTGTGTGTGTGTGTGTGTGAGAGAGAGAGAGAGAGA